CGGGCCTACACCCTTCATCAGAAAAGGGAGAGGGGAAGGGGGCTTTTATTTCAGAACCCCCTTCCCCTCCCCCTTTTCTGATGAAGGGTCTAGGCCCGAAACGTCAGCCTTTCTGCTCCTATGATGCTGCTTGGCCTGCTGTGTTCATCCAGCCCTGCACCTTGTTGTCTCGGATTCTCCAGCATCTGCAGTTCCTACTATCTCTGATACAAAGGGATATAGATAGTTTAACTGAGTAAAGAAAGATGTTACAAATGAAGGATAATGTGGGAAAAGTGCAAAATTCTGTCCATTTTGAAAGGACGAATGGAAAAGAAGGATTTATCTATGTGATGAGAGAAATTATGTCAAGCTCTTAGATACATAAAGATCTGGGTCTCCTCGTGCTTGATTCACAAAGGGTTAGTTTGCAGGTACAGTGAATAGAATGTTTTAATTCGCTGCTAGATGAACTGAATACAAAAGAAAAGAGTTATGCTTCAGTTGTACAGGGTACTGGTGAGACACATTTGGAGCACCGTACACATTGTGAGTCACGTCATTTAAGGAAGGATGTAAGGAAGGAAGCCGTTCGGAGAAGGTTTACCACACCTGGAATATGTCTTATCAGGAAAGATAGGACAGACCAGACTTATACCTGCTGGACTATAGAACAGCAAGAAGATTAAAGCATTGAAGATCCTGAGGGGTTTTGGCAGGGTATATATGGAGAGGATGTTCCCTTTTATGGGACAATCAAGAACTTGAAATCACTTTAAAAATCAGGAGTCACCTATTTAAAATTGAAATTTTCTCTCACACGGTTATGAGTCTTTGTAACTCTTTTCCTGAAAAGTTGATGGAAGCAAAGTCCTTGAATATTTTTAAGGCAGAGGTGTGTTGATTCTTGTTAAGCAAGAGAGTGAAAGATTATTAGGGTTATTAGAGTGAACATTTGAAGTTCCATCAGTTTGGCCATGAATGGCAGACCATACTCAAGGGGTTGAATGGCCTACACCTACTCCCTGTTTATAAGTCAGCTAGTAGGTGACAATATGAGAAATAGCAGTGGGAGTAGGACATTCGGCCCCTCAAGCCTGACCTACCATTTAACAAGATCATGGCTGATGTGTCATAGGCCCCAACTCCTATTTAATGCTAGCTCAGCATTAACACCAACTCCCTGATAGTTCAAAAATCTACCTAACTCCTCTCTAAATAGTTTCAGAGATTTTGCCTCCACAATTCTTTGGGGTGGAGAATTCCAGATATTCATTGCCATCTGGGAGAAGAAATTCCTCTTCACATCTCTGATTTAAGTGAGAGTCATTTTATTCTGTATCCCCTGGTTCAAGATGCGCACAAGCAGAAGCATCTTCTTAATGTCTACCCTGTCAAGCCCCCTCAGAATCCTATATGTTTCAATAAGATCACCCCTCATTCTTCTAAACTCTAATGAATAAAGGTCTAACCTGTTTAGCCGTTCTTGATACATCATCATCCAGGAATCAATCTCATGAATCTCTTTTAATCCGTCTCTAGTGTCAGTATATCCTTTATTAAATATAGGGACCAAAACTATACCCATACTCCAGGTCAGGCCTCACTGTTGTAGTGATTGAAACGGGTTGACCTCATTGACTACAAGGTCAGTGATTGGGGTTGTTAACCTGGGCCAATCAGGAAAGTGCTGCTGACCAATATAACCAGGAGTTGCTTGCAGCAGTGCCCTGTAACCGCAGATTGCGGTGGTTCATGGACTCCCAGCCCAAATGCCTGTTTTGTGGCGCTGTGGAGTCCGTGAACCATGTATAAATTAGGTGTGGGCACTTGCACTCCCTTTTCAGTTATTCTAAAGACATCCTTTTGTGTTTTTGGTTGCACTTCAGCCCCACACTCCTGATCTTTGGGCACCCGGTGCGGAGGGGAGTGGGCAAGTCTGAGAATCTCCTCGTGGGCCTGCTCCTGGACCTGGTCAAGCTGGCCATTAATAGGCCCAGGCAGTGGGCCATGGAGGAGGTCCTTATGGCCAACTGCCTGCCTCTTTTCCACGGCTACGTCCGCGCCCGGGTCTCCCTGGAGAAGGAGTACGCAGTGTTCACAAGCACACTTGATACATTTCGGGAGATTGGGCACCACGGGGTGTGGAATGTTTTATCTCCCCCTCCAATTCCATTTTGATTTAATCCCTATCCTCTCCTTCACCTTCTTGTTCACATAGGCATTGCCCCCAGGGCTCTGCTTGCTATTGACTCCTTAGTCACATGGGTGTCTTTCCTGGTGGTGGTTATGTTGATAAAGTTATTTGCACACCTGGTGTTTTTATTGTGTATAAAAGAAAAAAATATATAAACAAGGGATTTAAAATCTCCTCAGCCCAGATGACTGACTCCAAACTGGCTGGTGATAGTAAATAAAGGGAGACTCGGTGACAGATTACCAGTCTCTGTGCAGCTATTTCAGTGGTAATGAGAGAAAACAGGACAAGACATTCGCTTGTTACAGTCATCAACAAGTGGAGTTGGGGTAAGTATTTCTGGCATCATGCCTCAATTTGGGAAGCTTGGCTGATTTGACCCTGCTGTCGAAGACTGGACTCAGTATGTGGAAGGAATGCAATATTTATTCCGGGCAAATGACATTGGGGCAGGTGAAAAGCAACAAGTAAATCCTTCGGACTGTTTGCAGACCCAAAAATTCTCAGTTATAAGGGGCTTAACTTTCCCAGAGGCACCAAACACCAAAACCTTCAAAGAATTGAAGAAGTTACTTAAGGAATATTACGACTTCAAACCTCCTCTAATTCTGAGACGCTAGTGTTTTCATTCGGCTATTAGTGAACCGGGGGAATCCGTATCAGGATTTTTGATGTTGTTGAGACGACTGGTAGAGGCATGTGATTTTGTGCTAACCCTGCGAGAAATGCTGAGAGACAGTTTGGTATGTTGGATTAATGATATAATCATGCGGAAGCGCCTACTGGCCGAAGCCTGACTGGACTTCGAACAGGCACTGCAGCTGGCCTTGTCATTAGAAAATGTGGCAAGTGAAGCATGAGCTCTACAGGGCATCCCAATGGAAGTAACCATCCTCACCTCTCCGACTGAGCTTGGGGAACACCACTTGAGTGTAAGCAATCGCAGAGCCTGACGCAGAGCATATCCTGAGCAGAGGGACCCTAGGCCAACCCACAACAGAACCCCACAACAAAGCCAAGCCTCACCAAGCGGCTAAAAAGTTCTTCAGGATCTGGGTTGGCAGGGCATTGTAGTGCTGTTGGTATGCTGACTGCAGACAGCAAAGGAGTCCTACAAGGCCTGACTTCAGTAAGAGAGCTCATAGGCCGGTACCCAGGAGAGTTCACATCCTGAAAACTCCCCCTACATGTGGGTTGGAACAATTAAATTACTTAGTGACAGTCAAATCGGAACCGATTAAAATTAATGTTTGGTTAAATGTTTACCCAGTTCCCATGGAGGTCGATACCGGTGCAGCTGTATCTTTGGTTGCAGAATCTGCCTTTAACCTCAGCCAGACTGAGAACATACACTGAGGAATGTTGTAGATTAAGGGTACAACTTCGGTTCTGGTTGCCTATGAGAATCAGTTACCATTGATGGTAGCAAAAGGCTCAGGCCCAAGCCGATTGGGGTGGAATTGGTTCAGAAATATTCACCAAGATTGGCTCAACATTTTTCGATTAGAAAGTGGCTGCCTCAGTGAAGTCCTAGTGAAATACCCAGGAGTTTTTTGGGAAGGGCTTGGGGCTATCAACGGGGCCAAAGCCACTTTATATGATGACCAGGAAGCAATTCCGAGATATTGCAAGGCCCGTCTGGTGCCATTTGTCTTCTGGGCAAAAGTAGAGGCAGAAATCAGGAGGCTGGAGAGTGAAGGAATCATCAAACCAGTGCAGTTTGTAGAATGGGCAGTACCAGTCATACTGATTGTGAAGCCTGATGGCTCAGTTTGCTTTTGTGAGGATTTTAAACAAATGATAAACTGCTTCTCGCAGCTGGATAAATACCCGATCCCTCGCATAGAGGACTTGTACACAGAGTTGGTAGGAGGGTTGTCCTTTATGAAGCTGACATGAGCCACGCCCACCTGCAACTGCAACTGGATGAGGAGTCCCAGAAGTACGGTACAATTAATACCCATAAGGGTTTATATCAATATACAAGTCTGCCATTTGGGGTATTGTCAGCCTGCGCCATTTTCCAGCGGACCATGAAGAACATTTTACGAGGGCTACCCCAGGTTGCCATTTATATGGATGACATATTAATAATTGGGAAGACCAAAAAAAAAGCACTTAAAGAACTTGGACATAGTGCTTAATTATTTCTCCCAGGAGGACGTACACCTTACAAGGGAGAAATGTGAGTTCCGAGCACCCCAAGTGACCTACTTGTGTTACAGAGTCGACAAAAGCAGTTTATATCCATTGGAAGAGAAAGTGAGCGTGATCAAAGGAGCCCTGGCTCCCACATCTGTATGTGAGCTTGGGTCTTTTTTTGGGTTAGTGAATTATTACAGAAAATTCATACGTAGCCTGGCCTCCATCATGGTACACTTACACTTGCTAGTGAAAAAGGGTCAGCCTTGGAAATGGTCGCGTAGCCAAAAAGTAGCCTTCAGGAAAATGAAAAATCAGCTATCATCATCTAAGGTATTGGCCTACTACGATCTGAAGCGAGAGGCAATGCTGACATGCGATGCTGACCCGTTGGGTATCAGGGTAGTGTTGGGTCACCGGCGGTCCAATGGAGAGGAATGCCCAATAACATATGTTTCCTGGAATTTGGCTGATGAGTAATGCAAATACGCCCAAATAGAGAAGGAAGGTTTGGTGGATATCTTTGGTGTGACGGAGTTCCACCTGTACCTTTACGGATAGCTAGGGCAATGAAAGGAAGACAAGGCAGTGCTACCCATAGCTTCCAGTACAATTCAGCGTTGGGCCCTTATTCTCAGTTTGTACAAATTAGAATGCCATCCAGGAAGCCCAAGTGGCTAATGCAGATGCCCTGAGCTACTTCCTACTGGCAGATACTCCACCGGTCGTACCAACCCTGGAAGAATCCATTCTGGTTGCAAACTTCCTGGACACCCTTCCAGTCACCGCTGACAATATCTGGCTGTGGACACAAAAACATCCTGTCCTAACAAAAGTGAAACAGCTGGTGGTAATGGGTGAAGCAGAAGGGCCATCGCAACCAGGATTGAAACCTGTCTGGACCCAGCGAGACCACATTACCGTAGAGGATGGCATATCACTATGGGGAACAAGTGCGATTGTCCCGAGTGAAGGTCACCGCCAGATACTGGCTGAACTCCACCAAGCTCATCCAGGGGTTTCCAAGATGATGATACTAGCGAGAAGCTGTGTCTGGTGGCCAGGGTTAGATGCCAACAAAGCTGCATTGGTGGGCCAGTGCCCAGAGTGCCAACAAGGACAAAAATTACCACCAGCAGCATCCCCCACATTCGGGGAAAGCCCTGGATTCAGTTGCATGTAGATAATGCCAGTCCTTTCGTGGGCTCAATGTTCCTGGTCATTACAGATGCCCATTCAAAGTGGTTGGATGTGCCTGAAGTTCATTCGGCAAACTCAGAGATGAGAAGGTGCGAGCATCATTTATGATACACAGACTCCCAGAAGTATTGGTCATGGACAATGGGATATCATTTACCAGCAGGGAATTCAAATATTTCCCAAAATGGCATTCGGCACATTAGGACAGCTCCATACCATCGATCATCCAATGGTCTAGTGGAAAGATCTGTCCAAATGTTGAAAGAAGGCTTAAAGAAGCAGCCTATAGCATCAATTGATACCAAACTGTCCCAGTTCCTGTTCGTTTATAGGACCATCCCACATGCAACAACAGGGATAGCTCCAGTAGAGTTGCCGATGAGGAAAAGACTCCACACCAGGTTAAACCTGGTATTTCCAGACTAGGGTGAGGGAGGTAGGAGAGAGTGAAACAGCAGCAGGAATGCCAATGCTGGCCACATGCCTCCTCTAAGCGAGAGAGACAATTTAATTCGGGGAATGAAGTTTGGTGCCTGAACCATAGAAATGGCCCTGTTTGGGTATGAGGCGAGGTTGATGCAAGGTCAGGTCCCATCACTTACAAAGTTCCGGTAGGTGAGGCAGTCCTGAACAAACATGCGGATCACCTAAACACTGTTACCTCACAAACGGGGCAGGAGCAAAACGTACCTGGCCCCTCAGAACAGCCCGAAAGCCTGTCAGAAACCATAGGTTCCTCCCACTTCGTTTAGTGTCAGGCAAACCTCAGAGTCTGAGATTGATGCAGCTTTGATGGCTTTACCACTGAAAGAAGAGGAGAAAACTCTCCTGAGATGCTCCAGATGCAAGAGATGGTCTACAGTCTGGCAGATGCCGCCCGTGTCAGAGTCCGAATCAGAGGAACCAGATTTGGAGTGAAGACACCACAGGAAAAGCTACAAGCCAAAGACCAGGTGTATTTCTCCTGACTTAGGAGTGGGGAGGGGTGTAGTGACTGGAACCAGGTTGACCTCATTGACTATGAGATCATTGGTTGGTGTTGTTAACCTGGGCCAATCAGAAAATCCTTGGCTGACCCCCTTGTTCCTGATGCTTTTGTTGTGTGGGTGCTTTTCCTGGCGGTGGTCTGTTAATAAAGTTATTTCCACAAAAAAAAACCGAGAGGTTAGAATCTCCTCAGTTCAGGCGACTTACTCCAAGCTAAAGGGTGACTTGGTGATAGGATATCGGCCTTTGTGCAGTTATTTCAGCTGAGTATATTTGTACCAAGCCCTCCTTATTTGTACAATACCAACAAAAACAGAAATTACTGGAAAATGTGGGGCAGCATGGTGGCTCGGTGGTTAGCACTGCTGCCCCATAGCACCAGGGTCCTGGTTTTGATTCCGCCATTGTGCAACTGTGTCTGTGTAGAGTTTGCGCATTCTCCCCGTGTCTGCGTGGGTTTCCTCTGGGTGCTCTGGTTTCTTCCACAGTCCGAAGATCTGCAGGTTAGATGGATTGAGCATACTAAAATTGCCCACAGTATCCAGGGATATGCAGGCTAGGTTGGTTAGCCATGGTAAAGGCAGCCTTACAGGGATAGGATATTTAGTGGGTCTAGAAGGGATGCTCTCTAGAGGGTTGGTGTGGACTCGATGGGCCAAATGACCTGCTTCCACACTATAGAGATTCTATGATTCTGTGAAAAAGCCAGCAGGTCCGTGGAGAGAAAGTAGAGTTAATGTCGTAGGTACCTTGACCCTTCTTCAGCACTCCCTATTGTTGACTCTTCACCCCAGTGAATTTCTTTGAATAGCTTCAGATGCCTGCGTATCCTTTCTTGGATGTGGGGACCAAAACTGTGCACAATATTTCAGGCTCAGCCCCAACAACAGCCTGCACAGTTGTAACAAGACCTCTCTGATTTTAAACTCCGGCCTCTAACAATAAAGCATAAAATTCTATTTACCTAATTTCTTGCTGTACCCGCATTCTAACTTTAATGTTTCATGTACAAGAACACCCAGACCTCTCTGTGCTGTATGTTTTTTGGAGTCTGGAGTTTGTATTTAATTAAAAGTGTGCCTTTTTATTCTTCCTCCCAAAGTGTATAGTCTCACACTTTTCTACATTAATTTCCATCTGTCAAGTTTTTGCCCAGTCACTCAACCTATCTGTATCATCTTGTAGATTCCTTATGTCCTCATCACAATATCACCTCCCACTTAGTTTTGTATTGTCACAAATATGGATATGCTGCACTCTGTCCCCTGCTTCAAGTCATTGATATTGATAATAAATAAATGAGACCCCAGGACTGATTCTTGTGGCGCTCCACTGGTTCCATCTTTCCAACCTGAAAAAGACATATTAATCCTGACATTCCATCTTCTGTGTGTTAACCAATCCTCAAGCCTTACTCATGCATTCCCCACAATACTATGAGCTCCTAGTCGGGATTGAGGAAGATGCTAGGGAAGTCGATTGTTGGGTATATATGTTTTCACTGTGAGTTCTGATGTTGAAATACTTCATGTCTTTAGCTGGAGGCCTGTCAAGAAGCAGGAGCTGCAGCACTTCGGAATGCCTCACAAAAACTTTTCGAAAACTACCAAAGGCAGATGGATGAACTAAGACAACGACATGATGAAGAGAAGCACAAATTACAGGTCAGCGTCATTGAGCATCAGTCTGAAAATTAAAAATTAAAAGGCAAGGACAGAATGAGGAAGACAAACATTTGACAGATTTGCATATCTATAGAGGTTAACACAATTGAATTTGCTCAGTTCCTATACTTCACCAAAATATCCAGGAAGGATATTCCAGAGATCAGTCTTTGACAGCATAGAGTCGTGGAGATATACAGCATGGAAACAGACTCTTCGATCCAACCCGTCCATGCCGACCAGATAGCCTAAATTAATCTAGTCCCATTTGTGAGCATTTGGCCCATATCCCTCTAAATCCTTCCTATTCATGGACCCATTCAGATGCCTTTTAAATGTTGTAATTGTACCAGCCTCCACCACTTCGTCTGGCAGCTCATTCCATACACGCACAACCCTCTGTGTGAAAAAGTGTCCCTAAGTCCCTTTTAAATCTTTCCCTTCTCACTTTAAACCAATGCTAATTTTGGTCTCCCCAACCCTGGGAGAATGGACTTTTCGATGGCAGCTCCAAGAGCAGGTTGTCTTTATTACATGATGAATTAAAGCCATGGGAACAATGTTGGAGCCAGAGCCCCTAAAAACTAGACAGGTTTTTTTTTGAACAAGAAGATAAATTAATGGAGAAACTCAGCAGATCTGGCAGCACCTGTGGGAAGAAAGCAAAGTTAACATTTCGAGTGTCGTGACCCTTCTTCAGCTGATGAAGAATCACTAGACCTAAAACTCTTCTTTCTTCCCACAGATGCTGCCGGACCTGTTGAGTTTCTCCAGCAATTTTTGCTTCTGTTTCTGAACTCCAGCATCCACAGTTATTTGTTTTATTTCATTTAGAGCAAATTGGAGGTGCAATAACAAGAACAAAATTATCAATTGATCATTTGATTAAAGCAATGACCTCTTCCAAAATGTTTCACTTCCTTTTCAGACTTTTGCTGAGGAGCAGGAGCAAAGTTTGAAGAGAAGTGTGGAAAATTACAATAACCTGGTGTTGCAACTTCAGCAGAAACAGAACAGAGCCAAAGAACTGGAAAAACTAATAGAGAGGATGGAGAAGGTAAGAGCCTGAAGAAAATTCCCTCGGGAGACCTTAAGGCGCACAATAGGTTGGAGCATAAAATCCAACAACTTCAATATTGCTAACCCTGTCTGAAATTCTAGGGTGAACAACCTGATCAGGAGAAGAAACAATTTCAATGTGTTTGAGATTGGGGTCCATCCTAAGTGCCCTTCTGCTTCAATATTGTTTCACAGAGTGCTATTTCCTGTGTTGGGTCAGGACTCTGATGCTGGGGTGTGCAGTGCAGGGCCCAACCCAGCAATGTGTTGGAAGCAATTTTCCATTGATTGGTGAGAGAATGTACTTGCTGCCCAACAGGTGGAGTCACAAAGGTGGCCGTCCAGCACAGAAGGACGTATAGCAAGGCTTTATAAGGCAGCCTCTCAGCAACGTAAAAATAAAATCTGAAATTTAAAAAAAAATGCCCCTTCAGGGTGTCCAGCAACAGGAGGCAGCAGAGGCAAAGTCTGCTTGGAGGCAGTATTTTGGTATCCGTGCTGCTAATGCTGCAGGAGATCCCACAGGCCGACTGGGAAATTCCAGTCAACCTGTGATAATTAGCCTTAATTGGACTTTAACTTACTTCAATTGACTGCCAATGACTTTGAAGGCAGACAGTATTCCTGACCTTGATCCAGCCTCTGGGGAATTGTTCCAGTGGGGAATGGTGCCGACAAGTCAACACACTGGGTCCTCATGGGGGATATTATGCTCTTATTTCCAATCACTGCACCATATCTGGACAGAATCACTGCCTGTAATGTTCCTAGAGAGGTTCTGCTCATTATCATCCGTACACACTCCTTTCCATCCATTCTGAGGGATGAAGTTGCTCCATTTTTTTATCTGATTATGAAAGATCAGGTTTTCACGCTGAAAAAATGCCAAGAAACCCACACTGATTTTTTATGAGCAGAGGTGTCTGTGTCTCCCTTCAATCAGGCAGTCTGGGGGGCAGCAGTGTGCCTTCATCCGAAATAAGGGCCTAGGGTAGGGTGCGGGATGGAGCGTTTGGCATAATGCCTGCCCAGCAAGAGCCACTGGCCAATTAGAGGTGCACTTCTTTCGTCTTCAGTAACGCCGCTAAGACTGCGGCTGCTGCTAGAGTATAACCGAGATCAGGGCGAGCAAGATGTCAGGTAAGGATCTTTTTTTTTGGATGGGTTTCGGGTCACAAGGAGAAAGATGTCATAAGCAAGGACCAGGGTTGGCTCTCAGTGGCCATGATTCTGCCCTAATTCCAGTCCCTTAATCAAGCACAAACTAGTGCTGTTTGAGTGACCCCCTCATCAACTTATAATCTGATAACTACCCTACTCTTTGGGTCCCACCTGGAGCTGAGATTTCTGAAGTCTTGTTTCCTCTGGCAATGCACTAGTTAGTATATTCACACATAATTCCTTTCCATTCTATTTTAACACAACCTGTTTCATGAATTAACATCAGTATCAAAACAGCACACAAGGGAAGCTTAAAGGAATGCATTAACTAAATTTCTATGAGAGGAAAATGAAGTTTCGCACAGATCCTAAATAAAGGCCCAAACAAAAAGACAAGTTGGATGAACAGTGTTTTATCACTTTTAATTTTTTTAGATCCATATGAAAATTTAATGCTAACTCTCTTAAGTTTTAAACATTTTGTGTTCTGAGAGGATTCCTGAAATTATACTTCAAATATTTGTTTAGGAGAAGAAAGAGCTAATGGAAAAGAAACAGTCATTGGAAAAAAAGATGCATTGGAAGAGGTCTACGTCTATGGATGTTCCAGATGGCTCATCGAGGTGGGATGTTTTACGACAATAACAAAGTGTCATTAGTGTTTGAACTTGACATCCATTGTCTAATACTTACCATTTCTTGTCTACTGGGGGTAAACTTTTACCTTCAGCAATGGGGATTGGTAAGCTCATTTGGCTGAGGATCTAGTTTGTGATGCAGGTCAATGCCAGCATAACCGGTTTCATTCCCATACTAACTGAGGTTACTACCAATGACTCTCCTTCTCAGCCACTCCCGTTGCCTGAGTTGTAAAGACCCTCGTCTCTCTCATGATAAAGCAGACCTAGGATCTGGTAGGACTCTGGCAATATTACTTTATCTTCAAATCAGTCAAACAGACAATTATTTACAGTATGTATTAAGCGACTGAATGAGGATAGTGAATGTACTATAGCCAAGTTTATAAATGATACAAAAATAGGTGGGAAGGCTAGTAGTGACACAAAGAGTCTGCAGAGAGACAATAGACAGGTTAAGTGAGTGGGCAGAATCTTGGCAGATAGACTATAATGAGGGCATATGTGAGGTTATGCAGTTTGGCAGGAAAATAGAGGAGCTGAATGTTATTTAAATGGAGAAAGACTGCAGAATGTGACAGAACAGAGGGATTTGAGAGTTCTCATCCTCATATCTCAAAAAGCTAGGATTCAAATTCAGTGGGTAATAGGGAAGGCAAATGGAATTTTGGCCTTTATTTCAAAGGAAATGGAGTATAAAAGTAGGGAGGTTTTGCTATAACTATACACAGCATTAATCAGAAGCTGGAATACTGTGGACAGTTTTGGGCCCCCAATCCATGGAAAGATATACTGGCATTGGAGGTTGTCCAGAGACGGTTCATTCAGCTCAAACCAGGTATGGAGGGACTGTTTTATGAGAAAAGGCTAAGTAGATTGGACAAATATTCATTGGAATGTAGAAGAATGAAAGGCAACCTTACTGAAAAATGTATGATTCTTGGCAGGCCTGACAGGGTTATTTCCCCTCTGGATAATTCTAGGACCCAAGGGCATAATAAGGGAATAAGGGGTTACACATTTACAGCAGAGATAAGGAGGAATTTCTTCACTTAGCGGGTAATCAATCAGTAGAATTAGAGCCATAGAGTCTTACAGCACAGAAAGAGACCCTTTGGTCCAACTTGTCTATGCCAACCAGGTTTTCCAAACTGAACTTGTCCCATTTGCCTGCATTAAGCCCATAATCCTTCTGAACTTTTCCTTTCCGTATACCTGTCCAAATATCTTTTAAATGTTGGAATTGCTCCACAAATTCCTCTGACAGCTTGATCCATACATGCATCACCCTCTGTGTGAAAAAATTGCCCCTCAGGTCCCTTTAAAATCTTTCCTCTTTCACCTTAAACCCATGTCCTCTAGTTTTGGACACACCCTACCCTGGGTAAAAGACCTTGACTATTCACCTTATCAATGTCCCTCATGACTTTATAAACCTCTATGAGGTCACCCCTCAGCCTCTTATGCTCTAGCCTATCCAGCTTCTCCTTATAACTCGAACCTTCAAGTTTTGGTAACTTCTTTGCAATTCTTTTTTGCATCCTTACCAGTTTGATAACATCCTTCTGATAACAAGGTGATCAGAATTGTATGCAATATTCCAAATGTAACCTTACGAATGTCTTGTGTACCCATAATACGATGTCCCAACTCCTGCACTCAATGCTCTGACCGATGAAAGCAAGCATGCCTAATGGTTTTCTTCACCAACCTGTCTACCTGGGCGCCACTTTCAAGGAACTATGTACCTGCACCCCTCAATCTCTCTGTTTGACAACACTCCCCAGCGCTCTAACATGAACTGTGCAAGTCCTGGTTTGTCTTGTCAAAATGCAACATATCGCATCTATCTACATTAAGCTCCATCTACCATTCCTCGGTCCACTGGCCCAGTTCATCAAATTGCATTGTACTCTTAACTAACCTTCTTTACTGTTAATAGTGAACCTAGCATCGATCCTTGCAGCGCACCACTGGTCACAGGCTTCCAGTCTGAACAGCAGCCCTCTACCAAAACATCTGTCTTCTACCGTCAAGCCAAATTTTGTACCCAATTAGCCATCTCTCTCTGGATCCCATGTGATTTAACCTTACCAACCACTATACAATGCAGAGCCTTGTTGAAGACCTTGTTAAACTCCATGAAGACAATGTCTACTGCTCTGCCTTCATCTATCTTCTTGGTCACCTCTTCAAAAAACTCAATCAAGTTTGTGAGACACGATTGCCAATGTACAATGCCATACTGACTATCTAGCACAGTCCTGGCCTTTCCAAATGCATGTAAATCCTATCTCTCAGAATCCTCTCCAACAACTTACCCATCACTGATGTCAGGCTCACCGGTCTGTAGTTCCTTGGCTTTTCCTTGCAGCATCAATGGCACAACATTAGCCACCCTCCTGTCTTCCAGCACCTCACCCATGGCTGTAGATGATAAAAATGTCTCTGCTAGGGGCTCAGCAATTTCTTCCCTAGATTCCCACAATGCCCTGGGATACACTTGATCAGGTGCTGGAGATTTATCTACTTTTATCCATTTTAAGATCTCCAGCACCTTTTTTTGTAATGTGGACTCTTTTCAAGACATCACAATTTATTTCCCTGAGTTCCCTAGCTTCCACGTCTTTCTTCACTGTAAAATCCTGATGTGAAATATTAGTTTAAGATCTCATCCATCTCTTTGGTTCCACACATAAATGGCCTCATTGATCTTTAAAGGGCCTTCTTCTCTTCCTAGTTACTCTTTTGCCCTTAATATATTTATAGAATCTCTTTTCCTTAACCCTTATGTGCCAAAGCTATCTTGTCCTCGTTTTGCCCTCCCGATTTCCCTCTTAAGTGTGTTCTTAAATGCCCATACTCCTCAATGGATTCACTTGATCCCACCTGCCTCTACCTGACATATGCCCCCTTCTTTTTCTTGACCAGAGCCTCAATATTTCTAGTCATCCAGTATTCCCGACTCTTGCCAGCCTTGTCCTTCACACTGACAGGAACATGCTGTCCCTGAACTCTCATTACCTTGCTTTTGAAAGCCTCCCAGTTGCCAGATATTCCTTTACCCATGAACAGCCTCTTTTACCACAGAGGGGTATTGAGTCTAAGTTGTTAAGTATGTTCAAGACTGAGGTAGATTTTTAATCAGTAAGGGAATAAGGGGTTACAGTGAAAATCCAGAAATATGGAGTTGAGGCTTATCAGATCAGCCATGATCTCATTGAATGGCAGAGCAGACTTGACAGACTGAACAGCCTAGTTCTGCTTCTACGTCTTATGGTCTAATGAACTTATTGTCCTTTGTAGATCCTGCCCATTTTTCATTTCAATTGAAATCAAGTTGGTTCTATATTAACTGCCTGAGCAGCTCCAGCAGGTTACTATACAATCTGTGGAAGTGAAAATCATCGACTTTGTCTTTTTGATTTTCTCACTTGTGCTTTCTCAGTATGAATAATTTTCAGAACATCTGTGAAGTGCTTTAATGTATGTCTTATAATTGTCTCGGCCAGCCATACCTTCTGTACATCGTTTTCTTATGATTTGCTTCTAACTTTGGGGGTCAGACAGCTCAGGTGGCTAGACCATTAGAGTGTAATACAGAATGATGCCTATGGCAATGGTAGGAATTGCCTCCTTGTCTTTCCCCATACTTGCAGAGTGATGTCCATCAAGCTACATATAACCTATTGATTCAGTGGAACATGCTGGGACAGTTCACGTGGTTCCAGAAGTAACGAAATACAAAAATGCACATCACTCTCATTTTTTGGGGAAAAAAAACAATTAAATTCAATATAATCAGTGCTTTTTTTTAACTTTGCAAAAATACAAATTTTTATTATTTATCGTTGAGTGTGTTTAACTATGCTAAAGACACTGCAAGATTGTAAATTGTAATTATGGTAGCCCAGATCTTTCTATTCCCAGTCCATAATGTGGAATCCAGAGATTAGGCTTTCTGATGTTGCATTGTAAGTGGAGACTCTTCCCTGCTAATTGTGCACAATACAAATTAGGCATTCAGCCAAATTTCTGAAATCTGTTTACAAGGATTAAAACAGTTTCCAGCAGTAGAGAAGTATAAAATATCCCTTAGAGGTTTACCTCAGTTGAGGTAAGACTAACTGGGCTGTAATGTTCTGTTTTCTCACCCTGCTTTTCTTTAAATACAGTGTAACATTTGCCAGACATCATTTCTTTGGCACAATTCCTAGTTCTAAAGAACATTAGCAAATGACAATTTGTGTCTCCTTTATCGTTTCTGCTGCTTCTTCCTTTGTTCTGAGATGAAAGAAATTTATTTTTAATACAGTTAAGTCACTGATGCCTACACCTCACCACCATCACACCACACTCTAATTAATGTTTCTCAATTCCCAGCTATTAATACTTTGCATATTTGCATATAAACATTGCATGAATGCCAGTCTTGATGCCTTTTTTAAAACTCTCCCTTAAAATGTTCTGCAAAATCCTTTCCTCATTCGACCTAAAACAATATCCATAATCATAACAATTTAACTGGTCTCCCAATCTTCTAAAATGTTTTAAAGCATAAGAATTAATGTTTCGCTCCTCAATATCAGGGAGGCAGTATGTTGTCTGGACCTTAATTGATATCCCCAAGATATCTGTCCATAGAACATAACAGATAGCAGCAGGAATACACCATTCAGCTCATTCAACCTGTTTCATCATTCAATAAAATCATCTGATCTCCATATCCCTTGATTACATTAAGTGCGCAGAAATCTGTTCATCTCAAATTTGAAAATAATGACCTACAGCCTTCTGTGATAGAGAATTTCAAAGGTATTCAAACCTTTAATTGAAGAAATTTCTCCTTTTTCAACTCCTAAATATAATTGACCCCTTATACTGAAGCAATGAGCCAAGGTTCTGGCCTCTCTAGCTAATAAAACATTCAGTCAGCAACTATCTGTAAAGCCCAATTAGAATTTTATTCCTTTCAAAAAAATTGC